ATATTGTATGTTTTATATATTGCATATGTGTGTATATATGTATTTATATATTAAATATGTAATACTTTATGACTTCATTTACATAAAGATGAATATAATCTTCAACTCTAAAAGTTCATTTTTTTCTTCTGATTGTAAAAGAAATTAAAACACTTTCATGGGCCATGGACACTGTGTCTCCTATGCCTAATGCCTGGGTGAGCCCTCGTATGTGATATAACAAAGCTTAAAATGCTAGCGTATCATGACTGATGTTTGTGGTGCACTAGTTTAACACAATCCCCTCATTGTACAAAAACAAAAACAAAAAACGAGCTTCACAAATGTACAAGACCCTGCCTCAAGTCTTATAGTCTTATAGTGTCTAGTGGTAAGACACAACCAGAACTAGATTCCAAATGCTAGTTTCCTGATCTTTCCACTTAATTACACTCCGTTCTTCCTGGGAGCCTCTCCTCCAAGAGCCTTTGTCTTAAACCATCTCCTTCACATCACAATTAAGTCATGGGTGACAGACAACATCTGGGGTCTCCTCTCTGCAGTCTGACCTTTACCTTGGGGGGCTGGTCAGTTCATGGTGATAATCACTGCTTCGTAAAGAGAACCCATCTGAACCCCATTTAAAATAAACACAAGGGGTACAAAAACCCAAGATAGATTTGGACTTCCCTTTTTGGACACAATTTTCTGATCTGTCTCATTAAAATTAGCAACAATGGAAACTTGAGCTTGGGATAGAATAACTACTTACATAATAGACCAGTGCTTTCCAGGGTAGAGTTTATAGATTAGATCAAAGGTTTATTCCTTGTGCTGTCAACCCTTCATCTTACATAGCAGTTTAAAAAACAACAACAACAACAAAACAGAAAGAAAGAGAGAAAGAGAAGGAAGGGAGAGAGGGAAGAAAGAAAGAAAGAGAGAGAGAGAAGGAAGGAAGGAAGGAAGGAAGGAAGGAAGGAAGGAAGGAAGGAACGAAGTCAAATCTTAGCAACTCAGCTGCTAGTGATTGTTCTATTGACAATGCACTATAGAAAAACAGTCCAATACAATTCTTAAGAGCCCCCTCTGGCAACCAGACTTTATCTCTTTCTTTGGTTAGCCAGTGTGTGTCTATACCTGAGAAAACTTCAAGTTAAAAGGTATTTGTGTTTGAGAAATAGAAACAGATCATTCCTGAGTATACGTTTTGTTTTGTTTGTTTTTTTAGTTGTCAGTGATCCTTTATTGAAATATTTTCCTTTGTACTTCTTAAGTAGCAGGGCATTCCACTGTACCACTGTTTGTATCATCTATGATGTCATGAAAGTGACGGCCATCAACAGTGCATCCCACACGCTGAGAAATCCCCAGGTTCTCTTTAATGGCTCTAGAGAGCTCTCTGACAATAAAGATAGGTACTGCATCTGTCAGACTGTGTTGGTCATCTCATCAAAAATGATACTTTCACTGTGCTTGACGGGCTTTAGCTTCTCTCTGTCTCTGACTGGTTCCTGGGGGCCTTTGATACCAGGGCGGAGGCAGAAGGTACTACTTAATCTAGGCCTGTCTATTCACAATAGCCAGTTTAACTGTCATTCTTAGACCCTTCCAGTCACCTGTTGCCTTGGGATGTCATCATCCCATCATTGCCTTGTTGAGTGACAGACCCAGGGTCCAGTCTTCATGGCTGGGGCAGACGTGGCACTGACTTCCTGGCTCATGCACTTAAGGTTTGATTCCATTGGGGTGGAGTTTAGGAGACATGGTGGAGGCAGCCAGTACCAGATCATTCAGAGAGTGGGATAACCAATAATGTTGCACCTTAACCTCTTCCAGGCCAAAAGACAAAAGAGCTGCCTCCAGCCATCTTTAACATCACACCACTGAAAATTCCTGACTTTATGCCAGCGGTTTTATTGTTTATTATTATTCAGAATGCTTGTATACCACAGGAAAGAATTCATTTGCCAAAATATATTTCTTTTAGTGAAGACCTCTTCCTTTTTTTTGAGGCTCAGCTAAAAAAGTGTTCTGGCCAGTTGAATGACAACATAAGTGATCTTCAGTCATGCACTCCCACGGGTTTATTGAGTCAAAGATTATTTAACTATATCTTTTAAAAATATAGTTCTAATGTAGAAACCAGAGCCTAGGATTTGGAGACAGGACTGGTCTTGAACTTTCCCTCCAGACTTACTAGCTCTGTGATCTTGGGCAAGAGAATTACCTTTTCTGAGTCTTTGTTATGTCATCTGCAAAATGGAGTTAATAATTCTCGTTTAAGCTATTGTGTCAAAGATTAAATTATCTCCACAAATATTTATTGAGTACCTCCTATATGTCAAGCTCTTTTCTACAAATGCCACGGTGAACAAAAAATAGATTACCATTCTTGTGCAGTGGGTGGTCTTGGATGGACTTGAATATTTGAATATTTCCTACCTAGTTCTTAAGTCATTCAAGCAAAGTATTGCCTGGAAGTGGATTAGAACTGGATTTCTTGTACCTGGAGTTCTAAAATAATTATCCCTCTGGCTGCTACAGATTTTGGGTTACAGTTGAACTGCTAAAGGTTACTTAGAGATTCAGCAGGATCATTTATAGATTTTCACCATTTTTTTTAGTTTATAAAACCTTACCAACCTGCAGACAAAGTCTGTATTCGCTATAAATATTTTGTACTGCTTTTACTTTTGTTAATATATACTGTTTAACAGTAACCATAATTTGCATTACAGATTTTTAGAGAGGGAGATATATAGTATTTAGTGCCTGAAAATTCTGAATGATAAGTTGTTACCCTGATTTCTGTCCCTGACCCAATTGGTACAGGCACAGTTAGCCTCAAAGAGATCTTCTGTCATTGATGATGTCATTGATGGAATAAGTAGCTACTTTTTAGTGGTGATGATACCATTAATGAAGTGATCTAGAAAGATCTTCATTTTTCAAGGAGATTTTTCTGTCTGGCCTCATCAGAGTACATCCTAACCCTTCCAGGTGTGACAGCTGATAATCAGCAAGTAGGTTAGGTAAAATAATGATAACTGGATAAATAAGAATATTCAGATTAGTTATTTGAACTTATATAGTATAGAAAAATGGATGATTTTATACTCAGTTTGGAACAATGGATGAAGATGTAGAATTTACACACTTTTTATTATTAACAAGTCAAAAATAATATATCACTGTCATTCTGTATATAACCCACACAGGCTGTCAGAGTCAATATCTTCAGTGAAAATGTTTGATTTGCAGGGATTTTTTTTTTTCTGTGTGAGAATTGGCAAGACTTGGCCTTATTGTTAGCTTTACATTTGAATTTTACACATGAATGCACCATTGTAAAACTAGTGTTGGCATTTCAAATCGGTGAAACTCCAGGCCAATGTCATCTGAGGTGACTAGATTATAGTGAAAAAAAAAAAATCAATAAAATAGATCTTTAAAATACATACTGTCTCTGTATCAACAGACATGTACATTTTGCATGGTTCCCTTCAGTGCTAATTATACTGTTTTAAAACAACAATAGAGAACCAAAGGATAAGAAAATATAAAGCTACCCAACTGTGGAATCACCCACCTGACATTCTAAGAATACTGTTCTCTAATTACTAATATATTGGCAGTCAGAACAGTTATCTAGAGGAGAACATTTTTAAAGCAAAGAATTTCGGCTATCAATATTTCTTTTAAAATCGGTATTTCTATCTTCTCTATAAATATAAACAATATGTTGCTTCAAAGATGTTCACTTTGATATCACCACCATGTCTTTTCCGGCCAAGGCCCACCTGCCACCTGGTTCCATTTTGCCCATGAATCCTATTAGAGTCTGAAAATCATAACATTCAGTTTCCTGCATTTCCTTTGAATATGCATACAAGACAGCAAGAGAGGAGCAAAGATTCCTTCACGGCCCTTAGGAGATACTAAACCGAATTCAAATTTACTCGTGGTTCAAGTCTCAATTGTGCCATCTTCTTACTCTTGAGAAACTCCAGTGTTGAAAGGTAAATCTATATCCTAACCCAGTTTTGCCTAAGAAGATCTTTGTCCCTCATGCCTCCATCAAACTTCAATACCAAGACGAGCTGATTTTCCTTTCTTGTTACCAAATTTCATCCCCATCTCGGCCAACTAAATTGAGCATCAGAGTGGCCACTGCATCCGAACAAGAAATGGGAAGGTGCTGCCCACCTTCTTTGGAGTCTGTCTTCAAACATCATGTCTAAATCCGTGTACTGCTGTTACAAACCAATACAACCTTTCTGGAAACTATTTTGGCTTCGTTTCCTAACCTGTTGCTGATAATACACACATAATCTGGAATTATGTGTCAACAGTCCTAAAATCTTCATAGACTTTAACCATAAGAAAACAATTTAACATTTAGACATTCAGACAAAGAATTCTATAAAGATATTCACCATGACATTTTTTGTAAACAAAAAGTTGAAAATCTTATACAAGTTAATGTCCAAGAACGGGAATTGGTCAAATAAATGTTAGTATATCCATAAAATGGAGTTTTAAGCAGTTATGGTCAAGGTTGATATTCTAGAAGGATTTCTGAAATGGCATATCAAAAATTCTCATGCTACAGTCCAAAACAAGATCGCTCGCACAGTACAATCTTAACTATGTATAAATAATATGAACAAAGAGAGGGCCAAAAAAAAAAAAAAAAGACATCTACCAAAATATTAAAGTAGTTCTTTTTATTCCTTTCTTATGTTCTAATACATCCTTCAACATTACTGAAATTTCCTGTATTTGTCATAAATAAAATAAAACTTTAAAAATTTGGATCCAGGAAAAATACCAATAGAGCGATCAATGCACCCCATGCTTTCCTGTCCCTCGTACCTCTTAGGCGAGCCCTATAGAGCTGCTGTCTGCTGTGGTCCTTTTGCTAGGAATTTGCACGATCCATTCTCCTACTGGAGACAAAACAGCTATTGAGTGGCCATGATAAGAATCTGTGTCACCTGCTCTCTGTTCTTTTTCAGCACACAACAGTTTTGCCCTTTATATTAATCGAGATGAGGACATCACACCATGCGTATCCCAGAAGGAATAGCGGACTCGCCGCCATATGTACCTTCTCTGTTGGCTATATATTATGGTAAGGACAGTGCCTGCTGGGCTTTCATATTGTATTAGATTTTGCACTGCTAAATTTGGGCACATATTTCATTATGGATATAATCACTAACAGATTCACACTGCGTGCCTCATTTGGTCCAGGACCTGGGCTTTGTCTCATTTCCCCAGATGCTTATATTTTTAGAAAGTATATGCCAAACCTCACACAACAGGAATTTGTTGAACAATCCCATGTAAGCAATGGTTCTTCCAAGGCTACATTTTTCAACTCTTTTTCAAACTAAATGTTTTTCTTGGACAGCGATTTTATTGCTTAAGGGCTTTTTGCTTGGGAGTTTTTTGTTGTTGCTGTTGTTGGTGAGCAAATGCAAATGAGGACAGAAGAAATGGCCCATTTAGAGGAGTGACCTTAAGCTTCGTAGGAAACGGAGGGGAAGTGGACATTTGCCTGAGTCAGTTGACAGCCTATCTTACAATTAGCGATTACACATAGCACGCATTTAAAGGTTTTGTTTTTTAGAATTGGGATAAATAAATCACAAGAAATCTCCACTTGGCCTCTTGCGCACGAATAAGTCCCAAGTGGGTGGGGCCACATTAATCTGATAACAGTGCAGTTGCCTGTTGAGTTTACTTCACATTCACTTCAGTTCTTATCATGTTTTAATGTTTCAATATTATTCATTTTAAGACATGGAACTTCTCACTTCTCTTTAGAATTCCAAGTCCTCTTTGAAATATTAGCGTACACAGAAGAGGTCTTCCTGCCAGCATTTCTGCCTCTTGGGACTCACGTCCTGAGTTCTGTGTCATCATCCCTTCCTTTAAGCCTGAGGGACTGACCAACATTCTCCCAAACACCCCAGCACTGTGCTTAAGCCCTTCAAAATCCCAGAGCGCTTTGGGAGGCCCGGGCTCCATGGAGTGTTTTGCTCCAGCCAGCCCAGAAATACAAAATAGAGGTCAGTATAGTACTTCACATCCTTTGTGTGGATGACCACATAATGCCCCAGACCTGACCAGAAGGAGAATTTGCTTCTAGGAGGTCCTCCCCTGTGGCTGGATCTAAGGGGACACCCAGACCACAGACCCCAGAACAAACATGCAGTAATATTCACTCCCTCTGCCATTTCATTGACTAGTCAAAGACTAGGGAATGTTTGTGTTCCTAGTCACTTCCTAGATCTTTTGTTTCCACCTAAAATGTTAAGTATTGATTTTCTCTAATAGAAAAGGTCCAGGTGATCTGGGCTCACAGGTGAAACGTGACTGAAATTATGTCTTAAAAAATGAATATAGGTACTTTATATGTATTAACTTGATATTGAAATGACTCTTACCTTTTAGAAGAGTCCTGTAGGGAAACATGAATTACTCCAAGGACACATTCATTTAAAACTCAAAAATCATTAAGAATCAAAGCCCCTCCCCCAAGCCCCCCAAAATATAATTTATTACTGTGTACTCATATATGCTTGCCTGTGGGGAGGGAAGCTTTTAAATCTGAGATCTCTGGGTGTATTTCTGTGAATCCATTTATATGACATTAAATTATCTGAATCTGGGGACACCTGAGTGGCTCAGTCAGTTGAGCGTCCAACTTCAGCTCAGGTCATGATCTCACAGTTTGTGGGTTCCAGCCCGGCATCTGCCTCTGTACTCACAGCTCAGAGCCTGGAGTCTGCTTCAGGTTCTGTGTCTCCCTCTCTCTCTCTCTGCTCCTCCCCCACTCGTGCTCTGTCTCTCAAAAATGAATAAATGTTTTTTTTTAAAAAAGAGGGTTTTTTTTGGAGGGGAGGGCACCTGGGTGGCTCAGTCAGTTAAGCATCCGACTTTGGCTCAGGTCATGATCCCACGGTTTGTGGGTTCCAGCCCCACGTTGAGCCCTGTGCTGACAGCTCGCTCAGAGCCTGGAGCCTGTTTCAGATTCTGTGTCTCCCTCTCCCTCTGACCCTCCCCTGCTCATGCTGTCTCTTTCTCTCTCTCAGAAATAATTTTTTTTTTAATTTTTAAAAATTTTTTTAAACTTATTTGAATCTTATAGAGCCCCAGAGGTTTCGGGAACTATGTACTTTCCAGTGGCTTTTCTTCCATTGTGGGTATACTCAGTTCACGTTCCAAAGAGACACATGGGAAGTACCACATAGCCTTCATTACAGACCCCCAAGATCCCTCATTAAAATGAAGCATTACTCACGCTCTTCATGCCAAGTGAGGCTTGCCAGCTCTGCGTACTCCCGAAGTAAACCAGTACTTGTTTGGACATGAATTTGCATTAACCAGCAAATTCTCTCAGATATGTTCTGAGAGAGCTTTCAAAGTAGACCCTTTCCTTTGGTGTTCTGCCCTAGGTATTCATAGCTATGCCAAGAGCTAAACACTGCCCCTCACATTGTGTCAGAGTATATAAATCCAAGGATTTTCATTGTTACCAAAAAGGTGCTGGCTTTTGCTTCCTACCAGACTATCCCATGAGCCACCGTACCAGTGACACGACAGTAGAAGGCTCAGGATATGAAATCTTTTGAGAGCGTACCAGGATTGTGACTGGACATTCCAGGACCTCGTGCCAAAATGGAAGAAAGCACTCCTCTTATCGCGTGCTAATGATAAAACACATAGCTCTCCCCAGCAGTCGTCTGCACGATGGAGCTGAACCTGGACCTCTGCGGCTGCTGGCCAGGCTGTCTGTGCTTTACTCTGATTCTCGCTTGCTGTCCATTCCCACACGTCTCCCTCCCCATCTGAACTTGTTTTATTCCTAGATTTGGACAGCCACAGTCAAGGAAGCAAGGGTTACGGGAGCTTTCCCTCATAGACTGGAGCCCATTGAGCTGCCTCCCTGGGTGGCTCCATTTCCCAGCCCCTACCTCAGCCTTCCCAAGCTGAGCATCAGAAGTTATCCCAGACTCCTCCCCTGCCACCTTCTGTCCCCCACCGTACTTCTCTCCATTTGCCCAAGTGTCCCGGACACAGGCATCTCCCTGTACTCTTAACTCCTTAACTCATTCCCCCACGCATTCTCTACACCCTAGTTGTGGGATTTCTCCTAAAAAATGAGATGACCGTAAAAATGAGATTTCTCCTAAAAAATGTAATGACTACCATTCTTTTGAGTTCAGTGCCAAGTGTTTTTCAAAACTTATGTTATCTAGTTCCTCAAATACCCCTTCGAGATAGGCATTATCTGGCCTATTTTACAGATAAGGAAACTAAAGCTTAGAGAGTGTATGACTTGCCCAAGGAAAAGCCACTTACTGTTACCAGAGCTGGAGTGTGTCTACAGTCTGTACAGTTCACCGTGCTCTCCACTGCCTTCTTCTGGATGAAGAGTGTCTCTACAGACTAAGTGCATGTTTCGGTTTTGTTTTGTTTTGAAGCATTGCATCAGAAGCAGTGTGTCTAACAGTTAAGGCCACTTCCTGGGTTAGAATTCTGAGCCCTTTATTTCTGAGCTCTCACTTACTCAGATATAATATAGGGGTAAGGACCTCACAGAACAGTTGTGAGGACTGAATTACTATATGTAGAACCCATAGAACAATGCCTGGCACACAGTAAAAAATTTCTATATTTCTTATCATTGTTAGTAGTAGTAGTAGTAGTGTTAGTATTATATGTCTATACTTGCTGTTCTGAGAACAGTAAATAGTAGCAGAGCTCATAGTGTTTTCTTATCAAGGGTTTGAGAATTTTGGTTACAATGCTGTAAAGCCCTTTCTTTTCCATTTACTCTTTCTCACTCACTCATACGCACTTCACTTTAAAAAACCAAAATAGCCCTAAAGAATATGAAAATATCACTTTTTTTTTCTTTTTAAGTTTAGAAAGACTATAAGGAAATCTTAAAGGGGGACTGAGTAAATCAGAAAGCTTTAAGATCATGGGATATTGACTGCTGTCTCCCTCTAGTTAACAAATTCTGTAAGAGAAGACACCCTTACTCCACCTGATGCAGAACTCCTGGTGCCAATGTTTTCCTTGGCTGTGGCCCCACACCACCTCGTATCTTTGTCTCCCTGTAGTACTCACTGCTCTGCTTTAAAATCTGAAGGACACAGAAAGAGGAAACTACCCAAAACCTAGGAAATTTATATCCCCAACAGTTCAGCAGTGGGTCTCCTTTGTCCTGAGAAGGCTGCTTCCTGCCCATCATCCCCTCCCAAGGTGGTTCTCATTCGGTAGAGCCCACATGAGATCTCAGAGCCCAGGCATAATACATGTTAACACTAAATTCAAGGCATAGTCAGAAGCAAGGAGGCTTTAGAGAAGGAGAGAAAATGAGTCCTAGGAATTTCTTCTTATGGATAAACATTTCCCGTCACTATAGTGAACTTATTTAAAGCAGAACAGAGATTTCTGTTGTCTCTGGGCTATAGTGGTTTTTGATAAATTTCATGTTACAAATCTTATTACCCCAAATGGGTCCATGGTGCAATTCTCAAAACAGAACATAAAACAAAGTAAAATCCTTCTATGATACAATCTTAAGCTGCCCTAAATCAGAGTTCTATCTCCACCAAAGTGATTATCCCTCAGCTATGCAATTGCAGATTATTTTTTGTTTTCTTATTGAAACTTTTCTTTACTTCAAGTTTGTACAGGAGACAAATGTTTTTTTTATTATTTACTGTTTGTTTATTTATTTGTTTATTTATTTATTTTAGAGGGGGAGAGAGAATGCAGGGAGGGGAGAGGAGCAGAGGGAGAAAGAGAGAGAATCTTAAGCCGGCTCCACACTCAGCACAGAGTCTGATGCAGGGCTCAATCCCATGACTCTGGGATCATGACCTGAGCCAAAATCAAGAGCTGAATGCTCAACTAGCAGAGCCACCCAGGTACCACAACAAGCACTGTTTTTTCAAAAAAAAAAAAAAAAAAACAGAGGGAAAAAATACTAAAAATAAGAGTGTACTCAAATTGGAGGGATACCTGGGTGTCTCAGTTAAGCATCCGACTTTGGCTTAGGTCATGATCTCAGAGTTTGTGGGTTTGAGCCCCACATCAGGCTCTGTGCTG